GTAGGACCAGAAAATTTAAGGGTATAGACCGCGCGAAATGCGCAACACCATGGATCCCGTTTGTGTGACGATAGTTCCTTCAGAAAGCAAGTTGTATTKGTGATTGAGTTGGTGTACGTTGAGGTAAGGCATTCAAGATTCAAAGCAAATTGTGAGAAATGTATAAGGCCAAAGTTTTATTGGTAGTTTAGCCCCAGAGGGAAGGCGTTGTATATGATTGACAATACTAGTACTACAATGAGCTCATTCAACTGGCCCATTTTGATGGGAGGAATTGGCGCCTGTGGGACATACTTGTTATCCCTTTTGGGTAAATAGTTTTGAACCTCAGGGTTGTGGTATAGTTCTCCACCCTGATCCATGTAAACATAATTGTCTGGGCAGTTACTTGGTGTATGAATGTCCAGGAAAATTTCTAACCATGTGATTGGAGATGCTTTTGAGAGCCCAGTATTCTTGCCTACCACTAGGTAATGGGTGAAGTGGTTGGAAATGAGGATCCAACTTGTTTCACCATCAATACCTTCATAATCTTGTGTCCACAAAGCATTTTTAGATTTTGTTCCCGTGAAAAAAAAAGGCGATGGAAAGTCCTTGATAAGGAACAGTAGTGTAGCAGAACATGTTGTATTATCACCAGGGGGTGTTTTTGTTTGTTTGGATTGAATGCATGTTGGGCATCGATCCAGGATTGGGTCATTGTATTTGAATTTTGACACACCATCAATCAATTTATGAAAATTATAGAGAAAGTCATCATTGATGTGGCCTAATTGTTGATGCCAGAGTAGTCTTTGCCTTTGAGATTTGATGAATTTTTTTTGGAGTAGCATCAAATATCCAGTTGTTGTGTGGATGTTGCTGAGGTTCTGACAGTAAATGATTTATCTCATTTTCAATTTGTTCATGTGTGCATTGTTGATACATGTATTTTGATGATGGTGGTGGCAAAGCAATTCTTGGCAAATTGTTCATCTTCTTTCAGGGCTTTTCCCAGGGAGTTATATGTAGTAGTAGTTGTTGGAGGGTGAAGTGGGAGAAGATCAGGCATTCTTAATGGTTGAGTGTAGGATTTTTGGAATCACATCCCACCATGTAGTATGAGTGACTTATTTGTGTCTTTATTGTGTGTACATTGAATTGTGATGGTACCGGGATCATAGAATTTGTAGGTTCCAATAGTATAGTCACAAATTTGTAGTCATGAGTCTGATCAAATGATGTCATCTTCAGAGATGAGAGTCGAGGACAAAGTTGGGGAGTAGACGCATTGAATTCAAACATAGTCTTTGTCATTGTCAGCTGCAACATGAATGTATCCTTCACCATCAGGGTAAACACCATCTATTGAATTTAGAGCACCTACAAATTTAAGTTGGCACAGAAATTCTTTGCTGTAGGGTTTATAGTTGTGAAGGATTTCAAAGAGGTTGGTACATGTGAGGTCAGCACCTGTGTCAATTTGTGACCATATGGTAGGGGAAATATTTGTTGTAGGCATTTTCAGGGGGAGTTGTGTATTTGATATCTTTTAGGGAGTCAACATCAATAACTTCTATTGTTGATTTTGGTGAAGGTGGATATGGAGTGTCAGGCCCTTTTTCAGGTTTCAGTGAAAAGTTCTTTTGTGCAGTCTTATTTTAACAGAAATTGTTTCAGTTTAGGCATATATAATGTAATGTATAAACAAAAAAGCACATGGCATCCAAAAATTTTGCATGTAATTGCATGGGGTGCGCGCATGCCATCCTTCTAGCAGTGGAGTGGAATTATGGCTGGCATATATGATATATATATATATGGATTATTTTCTAGGAAACTCAAAATTTACATGCCTCCATCTTTTAGCAGCAAGCTTCTTCTTGGTGGCAAGTCATTGCTTGACAATGACACTGCAAACTAGTTTTGATAGTACTATTTTTTCTGCGTCTATGGCTCTGTTGGACATAGTCAGACAATGAATGGTTGCTGAGATGGAGCCTCCTGAAAAAGGGCATGTATGATTCATTAGAAACTCTTATTCTTTTAGCAAGCAGAGGTACTTTTGGCAATTTTATCTGTTGTTCAACCAAAATATGACAAGTCAAATTAGATGATATTATAGTGAAAAAGTGCCCAAAATCTATGGCTCATGTTCACTTGCCTTTGTACCTGTTTCATTCACAAATATATGGTAGATTGAGCTCTATCCTGGTCCCCAACTAACTTACAACCATGATACTAGGCACACAAATCAAAAGAAGCCAGTGAAAAAGGGAACCTAGCAGTCCTATCATGGGAGTGGGGGATGGCTCCTGATTATTCATGACTGTTATTTCTATATAAAAAAGTACAAACATTTTGGTAACAATCAATTGCGCCACCACAATAAAACAATAGATCATATCATGATATATCTGGTATTTCAAAGAGCAGACAATATCTGATGGCATAAATAAAGCTTGTCCTACTCATAAGTAAAAATCAAACTGCTACACATACATACCATTTTGGTAACACATCACATAGAGCTGCACCAGATTGCACTACTACAAGAATGAGTACCACAATAGAGAATGAAAGAAATACTCTAAAAATTATCTGTTAAAATCTTGCAAAAACAAATGATACTTACTAGTTTGCAAAGCATTTGCTTTGTCACTAAGGAGAGACCCTCAAAATCATTTTAAGGTGTATGTAAGTTTATTAGACTATCTTTTTTACATGTGAAAATTACAATTTTTTGTCTGACTGATATCACCATTTTTGTTGATTCTTGTTGTCATGACAATTATTAGGACACAATTACACATTTTGATTGTCTTGCTTACCTGTCCTTCTTGTTGCACTTTGGCAACACAAGATTCAGCAGGAAAAGACCTGGCAGTTCTATTCATTGTCATAAATCCTCTCCAGAACAAGACAGCACACACTAACAGGTGGCATCAGAAGGCCACTCCTCACACAAAAAGGAGCCTTTAACACTCTTGCAGAGTCCTGACAAAGATACATCTTTTAATGACAGAGATGATTTTGTTCTGGAAGTAGAAGAAACTGATGATGAAATCAATCTTGCTCACTACTACAACACCACCAGTCAAGATCACTTCAGGGGATACAGTGACAAGAATACTAGTCCATAGATTTTTGAGTTCAATGCTGTAAATATTGTAATGCCAAAAAAGCTAGGTGGAAAATATTGGGATGACATTTATGTACTCAGCAGCCAGTCTGCTGCCATTACTAGTAATGATGCTCAATTTCTCTACTAAAAAGAGTGGAAAATTGCTCAGTACTGTTGACATCTCCTACTGAAAGCCATCTGAGGGTTTACAATAAAAGTGAGGAGCAGCCATCATACAGCTGTTTGCCTGATGTGATTTGGTTTCATATCTTTTTCATTGATAGGGCATGCTACTAAGGAAGAAAGGAATGCATTCAGCTTGTATCCCATATGATTTTTGGCATTGCTGACAAGGTGAAGGTTTTTGGACTCAGCACCACATATTGCTGCTGATAATCTCTTCTCTTCTGATCTCTATTTTTTATTGAATAGAGGAACAGGCTTTGGTTATTCTTGCATGAACTGTTGCAAAAGATCAGCCTCTAAGTGATGACAATGATAAGTATCTTTACGTTAAGGTTCTTGTGTTGCAAATGGAGATGAGAGTCATTACAAAGCCAAAGCCTGCAGATGACAAATACAGGCCAAACGTGTATTCTCAGGTCCATTGTTCCTCTCAGATCACTGGCAATCAGTACTGTAAGTCCAGTGTTGGCTTCAATTTAATCTCATCATAGTAAGCTTTTAATTCACACAAAGGAACAAACAATCTGAAAGCTTCAACCCAATTCTGATCAGCTATGCCCAGAATCAATTTTCCTATCACAGCATATCCCAACAAAAGCTATTCATCAGAGAGAATGTAATTCTTGTATTCCAAGAAATGATAACTTCAAGGTAAGTAGTTCAATAGAAACAATTCTTCTTTCAATTTGTTTCAATCTAACGATTATTAAACTGATTATGATGAAAAATATACAAAGTGATGCCGCGCTGCTTCAAATACCTCATCGATACATAACTCCGTCTGAAATCCTACTTCTCTTCGTCAAAAACTCCATTCAGAATATCATTATATTCTGCTTGATGGACGAGAGTCATCCCGGTTGCAGGAGCTGCACTGACAGGACGCCCAACGTATCTTGGACGCTTCTMGTTTCCGTTGATTTCACGGGTTGCTGTCATGATCCTAGAGTTTACGTAGGAGTATGCACCCATGTTCCTATTTTTGATTTTGTTAAAATAATGAATGAACAAATTTTCAGTGTTGGTAGTAAGAAAACAAAAAAAATAACCCATGGCTTTTGCATACTACACTTACTTTGGCTCTTGCTGTGCCCAAATGACTTCTGCATTTTGATATTTTGCAGCACTCTCTGCAACACGATCGAACGCAAATGGTGCTATCTGTTCGATTCGAACTAGCGCTACATCTTTCACGTCTCGCTTCTCGCGTTCCGCAAGTAGCTCGTAGTAAATCTGACCTGAACAGAATACCAGTTTCTGAAGGACAATTCAAAACAGAACCCCATAACGCTAGTTTAGAAAACGAAAAGTTTGTGAAATTGTATCTTCAATATGAACTTACCTTCACTTGATCTGGATTCTCAGAAATATCAGGGTTCGTCTCAGGGATCAAACGCTATGGTTAACAAATTTGAGCGAAATTAGTGCGATAGGAATTCATCGGTAACAAAACGACTCAGTACTAGCCGACTGGAATAAAAAAAACTTCAACTCACCTTAAATGTTGTACCAGGTCCCATATCATCTAGAGTGGAGACACACCTTCTATTACGGAGGAGATTCTTCGGAGCTACGACAACGAGAGGTTTCCGGAAGTCACGGTGAATTTGTCGGCGAAGACAGTGGAAATAGTTTGCAGGGGTGCTGCAATTTATCACCTGCCAATTGTGCTTTTGAATTTGCATTCGTTCATCTTTGTTGAACTCTGGAACAACATGTGGATCCTCATCAACCATCTGCAAGAAGCGTTCAAGACGACAACTGGAGTGTTCCGCACCTCCTCCATCGTAACCGTGCGGCAACAGCATAACCAAACCGGACTGACGAAGCCATTTATCTTCCCCAGCGCTGATAAATTGATCAATCATAATTTGAGCTCCATTTACGAAGTCACCAAACTGGGCCTCCCACAAAACAAGTGCGTTAGGATTTTCCAAGGAGTAACCAAGTTCAAAACCAAGGACTGCAAATTCTGACAAAATAGAATTGCGGCAAATGAACCCTGCCTGTGTATCGGGGCCTGACATTTCCTCTTTAGGGCAGGACGGATCCATCCGTTTCGTAATATGATTCAGAGGGGTATAATCCTGTTCTGTATCTTGGTCCTTAACAACAGCATGGCGATGACTAAATGTTCCACGTTGGACATCTTGTCCAGTGATACGAACGTGGTTCCCCTCGACCAGAAGTGATCCAAATGCAAGGGCTTCTGCAGTACCCCAATCGATACCTTCACCCTTTTCAGCTTGCTCACGGCGGTTATTGAAGATTTTCTTCATTTGCCGATGAAGTTTGAAGTCGTCAGGAACAGTTCCAGCTGTTATCCCAATCTTTCGCAACATTTCGATGTCGACTCCTGTTGGTCGAATACGTGACATTTGAGTTGGGCTTTTAAAACCAGCCCATTTGCTGGAAAGCCAGTCGTCTTCTGACTTCTGATACGTCTTTGATGCTTCCAAATCATTTTCATACGAATCCATTACAAAGGTTTTGATTTCTTCAATTTCTTCGGGCGTCATGGTACCTTCATTTACAAGACGCTTTTCAAACAATTGGAGAGCAGTGGGATGCCGTGAAATTTTCTTGTACAGTTTTGGTTGAGTGAACGCTGGTTGATCCATTTCATTGTGGCCATTCCGACGATAGCAAATGACATCAACAATGACATCGGTTCCCCATTCGTGCCTGTATTCTACAGCAGTCTCCAAGGCTGTGCTGACTGCCAATGGATCGTCGCCGTTGCAATGGAAGATTGGACAATTGAATGCCTTTCCTAAATCACTGCAGTACGGTGTAGAGCGGGAGTTGATGGGATTTGTTGTGTAACCAATCTGGTTGTTGACAATAACGTGAATGGTTCCTCCAACTGCGAAGTCTTTGACATTGGCAAGCTGCATGGTTTCATAGACAACACCCTGTCCAGCAAAAGCGGCATCCCCGTGAAGCAAAATCGGAACAACATTTCGAACATCTTCTGGACTACTCATTTTTTGGTTGTATTTTAAAAGGCGCATTTGTATAAGAATCAACGAAAGGAGAAACTACCCCCGAGCGAGAAACAATATTAACAGGACGCTGGGGTGGCATGGTTCATAGTAGACTCACCGATCTCCCTGGTAGTATTGCTTGGCCCTAATTTTCCCAACTACGAGAGGGTTGACGCATTCCAAGTGACTTGGGTTGGCTACCAAACTCATGTGGATGCGACGACCGTCGGGATAGGTACGGTCCATGCTAGATCCCAAGTGGTACTTTACATCACCTGAAAACCCATGATTGTCGTTGTCTCCCTTGTAGTGCTCATCAATAGAGTAATGAGTGCCGGCAAATTCACTAAAGATCAACGGCATAGGTTTGCGCATTACATTTGCAAGAACGTTTAATCTACCTCTGTGGGGCATGCCCAATACGAAGGAAGTAGCACCTAGTTCACTGGCACGGTCAATGGCATCCTTCAAACCCGGGACAACGGCTTCGCCACCGTCCAGTCCAAATCGTTTGGTGGTATTGAATTTGTAGGCCATAAAATTCTCAAAGGTGTCCGCAAAGCATAAACGTTCGAAGATGTGAGCCTTTTTCTCCTTGTCGTACTGATTCCAGTGAGGATTTTCCATGCGTTGTCGGATCCAATTCATCTTATCGGGATCACCGATGTGCATGTATTCGACCCCTAAGGTTCCACAGTATGTTTTGCGAAGTTCTCCGAGAATAGTTCGCAAAGTGACCTTGTCGGGAGCCTTTGCGAGATCTTCCAGATATCCGCGTTGGCCTCCACTCGACCGGCCCTTGAAGAGGAGTTTGCGGTCTAGATCTTCTTCGGAAAAACCATAGTACTCTATTTCGAGGTTGGATGGGTATCCATCGGCTCCAGGCTTGGGACGATAGGGGAATGATTCGTCGTTGAAGAGATCGAGGGGATCAAGGTTTGCAGCCTCGTGGCCATTTACCTGATAGGCACGAATGAGATGCGAGATTGCTAACGAGTCCGATGGGGCTGCGCCCTGTGGCAGATGAAACGAGCAGAAAGGAAAAGAACAAATAAAATGAGGTGAACCAATACAAAATATCACGAGCCCCTAGGGGCTGCACTCCCCGAATTGTTCGAAACGCAACAATAGCAAAGAATGATTCAATACGAACATATCTATGATCCCCGTATTTTTCTTACGGTCAAAACACGATAGTGTATTCACCAGACACACAGATCAAATCAAAACAAAGCCAAGAAAGTCAACATACCCCTGCTACGGCGGCCGAACGCTTTCCGGGAACACTTGTGGGCTTGTTGAAATCGTTGCTGTCAAAGGGCACTTCGTTTGCTTCGTTTTCAAAGTAAGTCCGCCAAGAATCCTGGACCGAAGCGGGATCCTCCAAATACATTTCGTACATTTGTTCGGCATAAAGCGTAGATGTTCCGTTTAGGAACGATTCCAGCGGCACGGGAACCTCTTCTTCTTCGATCTGTGTCGAGAAACACGCCGACGCCCATCGAGTGTCGTTCCGGTGCTTCGCAATGGTTTTTTTTCCGATTCTCATCGACCGTGTGAAGAGACGTCGGTGGGACGCTAAAAGGATTTTCGACATGGTTGCTGTTTATTCTTTGCTGTTGCGTCGTGTTCTTTTTCAACTCCCGCCAACTCAACCAATCAATGCTGCGGCGAAGAGATGGAGTGGTGTGTAAAGCGAAGGTTTTTGGTGATGTTGTCACGCGTTGCTGCTGATCCCTGCGACACAACGATGAGCCTTCCGGTATTGTGATTAGTTCTCATGAATTACGGTAAAAATCGAACCCTTTCGGTACGCTCGGTATGTACTCATACTCGTACGTACCTTCAATACGATAGGGTCTCGTCTCTCGTGTCTCGTACAGTACTCGTACTAACACATCTGCCGGTACAGGTACAACATACTACGAGCAGCAGAACGCATGGCGAAGCCTAGTTTTTGTGATTTTTGTGATGATCGGCAAGGGAGAAGAAGCATTTACGACGAAAAAAAGATCTCAATCGTACGGTGCGTACGGTACGAACGCTACGGTACATCACACAGAAAATGCTTCGCCGTTCCCCGTTCTTGAGTTAGGCGTCAATGGAACATCGAGATACTTTTTAGTCGAAGTAGTCCAGTATCGAGTCCTGGGCGACATACTCTATGGTGCGTACGTACGTACGTACTCGTATGGGTACAGCACGCGAGAACTCGAACAAGTAACAAGTCACAACCCAGGGGTCATAAATTTAGGAGGGGTGCGCAACGCATCGAAAACTCATATTCCATCCTCGGTACCAATAAGAAAAATTTCCCTAAAGAATTTTTTTTTCACCTTATTTTTACTGCATAACACTGCATAAAGTGCACCTGAAAGACCTCATACACAGGAACACTTCCAATCACTCTCTGATTTTCAAACTTCATATGCAAATCTCTCATATAGTTGAGAGTCAAGTAGTAAGTGTTTGTCAGGTGTTATTGTTGTCTATAGGTCAGAATTTGAAGCACCAACAAAGGCCTGGTGGTAGTAAAAGATTAGTACATATTAGTACTGTATTTGAAGTAGAAATAGTCTGTCCTTTGTCCAGTCAGTCCTACCAGTCTAGTCCTTAGCAAAAATTCGAACTGTCTGTCCTTCATCCGTTTCTCCTACTAATTCCCCAGTAGTAATTTCTACTAATAATCTAGTCATCATTCAACAGTTGTGTAATATCACAACAACCAATTTGATGCCCAACAAATTGGTATATTCAGAATCATCATTAAAAACTGGACTAGACAGTATGTTCAAAAATTAAAATAGTAGTATTTTTGATAAAGTTATAACCACTTGAAGGTTGGGTAGTATTACTAGTAGTGTGCAGTAAAAATGAAGTGAAAAAAAAATTCTCTAGGGAAATTTTTCTTATTGGTACCGAGGATGGAATATGAATTTTCTAATCATTCTGCAGCAGTTTTCGACGCGTTGCGCACCCCTCCTATTTATGACCCCTGTCACAACCTACAGTATTTTTTTTTTCCAATTACTACTACGCGCAAATCAATTGTTTCCCTTACATAAATTTCAACTGGTTTGGCAATTTTTACAAAATTTCCATTTTTTGTGCTCACCAAGCTAAACAGCATTTATTGATGCAATGGTAGTGACCCGAGGAAATATTCACTCTCATACTTTCCTACTTCTGCATCAAGTTCTATCCAGCTTTCTTCAAATAAGTCCCCACTAATTATTCTCTGGTGTGTTAGATTTGGAGACAGCAAAACAAGCAAGTTTTGCAGGAATCAAAAGTTAGTTACGAGAAAAGTAAATAGATCCAATTGGTCTATCGTAGAAAAAAATGCTTCATGACTGTTATCTTTGAGCAAAGTTTCTCACCTTGGCCATAGACACTTTCGGTTCTTTGTGCAGTGGGTTGTTGCAGAGATCGATAGTTTTTGCATTGGCTTTTGTTTCGATTGAACACCAGGATTCGCACCAAAGCCACTCCTGGGGAAGCGAAAATATTGGAACTTGGAATTGGACGTAATTTGGTAAGTCTTGATCAAGGTTGGCTAGACTACCTGGGTCGGCGGACAAGGCCTGATACTGAGCTCGCAGCGTGTCTCCTACACGATCCTTCCTAAATTTCTCCAAGTCAACGACGTAGAGGGCCGAAATATGGTACGGCTTCCCTCGTAAGTGATTTTTCCCTGCATTATAGAACAAAGTATGTACAGAAAGTAGCCCGTACGGTGCATAATGAGATACAATGCGATGAAAGTACACTGGCGACTGATTCGTTGGTTGATGACCTCCAAAAAGGGTAAACATTACTTACAAAAGCCTTGATTCCAGAACTGAAAACCCAAAGTTGATTCGTTCGACGAACACATGGGCGTATATCCGTATGGTGCACCCTTCAAGTCCATATTCCACAGTTCCTTGAGGTCTCCTCGAATCACCTGATCAGCATCAACGTAAATTATTTTCTTCACATTCAAAGGAAATAGTACGTCCAGAAAGAGAATTTTATATCCCCATATGATTCTTTGCTTCTCGCTTTGTCCGCGAAGCCATTCGGGCCACTTGTATGTGACAAACTCTACCTCGCATCCTATCCTCTTCGCCATTGCTATAGATGTTGCCTTGAAGGTGGGAGATAAGAAGTTTTCGAATAACCAGAATTTCACCTTTGCAGATGTCCTTTTCGTTACCGATAACATCATAATCTTTAGGAATCTTTCGTAGAGATGGCCGGTAGCAAGAGAAAATACATGAACCACGTCATCATCATTTTGGGATAGTCCTTTCTTGTCATCATGAAACAGCGTTGCCAATTCGTATCCAGGTTTTCGTTTCACTAGAAGAAAGTCAGAATTACCACGCCCAACAAAGTCACGAATAACAAGTCTCTTCGTATTGTCCGAGATCGCCTTCGTCACCCGCACACCTCTGGGTTTAATTTCGCCTTCCACCATCTGAAATATTTCTGCTCCTCGAGAATCTTCTTTTATCTTTAGATCCCAGAATCCTGGATTGGCTCTCAGTTGCCAGTATCCAGCAGTTTTCATTACAAGTGTATCGGAATAGTGACTTCTGTGAGGTATTTCAACATCACTATGTTCCATCTTTATCGATTCATCGGGCTCCGGATCCACCGAAACCTCACTAGTAGTTTTAGAAGTAGATAGAATTAATTCCTTGGAAAGAACAAGTTGGAGTCCGTTTGGTGGCGACAAATTTGTTTCATAACATTGCCCCGATAACAAAAGATGCTGGAGGCCGTACTCAACGTTCGTAACATGCCTTTGCTCGTGCATCTCGATATCTATTTGATCATCATCACCACATGCCGACTGTAGGTCACAACGTAGGTTGTCCGTGTCTTGGATGGCACGCGTTTGCTGAACATCCCATGGTTCTGGGACATCCATTCGTAGGGTCAATATTTGATCAGTTGGAAGATTTGAAAATAGGGCCATGGGTGATCCCGTGCTATCGTCACGCGCCTGGTAGGCCAAAGGGTCCGCAACGAAACGGTAGTAACTAGAAATTGGAATGTCCGAGTTGCCATCTAATTCCGTACGCGGCGCCAAAAGAAGATCTAGCTGAAGCTTTAATTCATCGCGGATAACCAAAAGCAGAGGAGATAGTCGCTGAGCAGTCTCTGTCGTTGGATCAACGATTGCAGTGACTTTGGTTCGCAAAGACCCTCGAACATTATTTTCTTTTCTGTTCCACAAAAATCGGAGAGGATTGTTAACAATATTGTTTTTCTTTTCCAAAACCTTTATTACAGCAGCTGGATCCGATCTTTTCTTTTTTTCACTTTTCTTTGTTGACAAAAATGCCGTGGTTCGCCCGATAACATCAAAGGCTGAAATTTCATCGACATCAGACTTCATCATTTCCGACACTATCTTGGTAGACTGGAGGGTCAAACTTGTCAAGAGCTCAATATCGGTTATGCTCAAGGAAGGGTTATCAATGTTGTACACTCTTCCATTGGCTGTCAGAAAGTTATCTGACGAGAGTTCTTCCTGGAGGTACGAGAGGTCATTGCAAGATCGAGAATCAACCAATTCTCGATAACCGTCGATTGAATCATCAGGAGAAGTAAGTTTGAATTGCAAAATTTCTTTCACTTTTTCGAATCCAAGTTTTCCTGCGGAGTTGAGTATTTTGCATAAATCAGTCCTGGCGCTATTGATCGTACTCGGAAGAATACGGTACCTTGCGGATATAGTAGTGTCCCCAACATTTTTGGATAGAGTATTCATAGCTTTCAAAAAGTCAAGGGCAAGAGACAAACCTTTCGGTGTATCAATGGCAAGAAATGCCTCGTAGAGAAATGTCGCGTCGGTATCCAAGTATGAGGCATCGTTCCCCATCAACTTAGGAACCATGAGCGAATCCGTTCCAAAGTTATGCTCAAGGTCTAGAAAAGCGTTCGCACTCCCGCCTTCTGTCAATAGAGGATGTAATCTAGGAAAAACATCCTTCTTGTTGCCCTTGATAAGCTTGTAATAAAAGTTTCTTGGCTTTTCGTCTGTTATTTCTCCGTCCACAATCATCTTGAAAACAAGCTGTTGTTCTTCGCTGAATACAATTTGAAGTTTTTCTGAGTCATCCTCATTCGCAGGGAGCGGTCGCCCGTTGATGAAACTCATGCCAGTTTTCAGTCCTTTGTTCGTGGCAAACATTACAGCTTTCCCGTATGAATAGTTCGAGACGTTTTCGTTCTTCCGAAGAGATTCTACGATATTTTCAAGCGGGATGTTTGCGTGAGTCAATCTTAGCGCAACAAGGATCTCGTTGTGTTTGTTAAACAGATCAAAAAGTGAAAAGTAATTTCCATTACTAGGAGTCTCCCGCTGAATAGAGGTTCCCATGTATAGTTGATACATTACCGATGCCTGGCCATTGCTACTAGCAACCACTTGCCGCACGTACGCATAAAGCCGATGGACGTCTCGAGTCGTGGCTTTGATTTCTTTGAGATCATTGACGGTTAGGGGGTCTTCTTGGCTGAGCCAATGATCTGCAGGTAGTTCACATGCTTTGCCACTTGAAACAAGTTGACTACACGTATTAATGTCTTTCTGACTTACAGCTACCACTGCCGATCTAACAGGGTATTGCTCTTGTACCAGTTGACCAAGCAAAGCTTCTGCATAGTTTGTGTTCGAGCTTTCAGTTTCATTTTCTAKGGGATCGACGACGAGCAACACTGTAAACAAGTTTCTTCGGATGGAGGGAGGCATTCCGTACTGCATAGCCATGAGCATATTTCTGACACTTGTGCCCCACGAAGAATAGCTCCTGTCCTTTTCCAAATCATTCATGTAAATCACAGAATCCTTGTCACCGCTGGCCAGATCGATCCTGTAAAGGCCCTCTGTCGTATGATCATCAGCCTCCTCATTGTCGGCACTTCCATTGTCTTCCCCATTGTCATTGCTGGTAAAAAATGAATCGCCCTGAATGAACGCATCTTGGATTCGCTCGAGGGCGTTCTTCAGATTTTGCGATGGCAGAATTGATCGGAACTTACGTTCGAGTTCCTCAAGTTCTTTCACTTCATCTTGTAGCAGCTGGACCATATCAAACACATTGAAGGACGGTCGTTCTATGTTTACAGGTCTGCCATTAATCCAAATGCCACCCCCACTGGTGCTAATCAGTCGTTGCAGGGTAGATTCCATCGACCCGGCAATCTCATTGATATCCTTTGGCACAGTCACGTGGACTAAGGTCGATGCCATGGACGGGAGATTCTGCGAGACATCTTGCAAGGTTATCAGGGGTTGACGGGAATTAGCAACGACAGCTGCGGCTTGTATCGATAAGTGTCGTCTTTGCCAGGTGGGGGGAATGAGTTGACTGTGCTGTTCAAACCGTGTGTGCAATTTCCATAATTCTCGCTGCATTTCTTCCTTAGAATACGAATGGGCTCCGCTTTCATCATCCGATAAATCCAAGGCCGTGAGATTAATCCCGGCTAAAAAGTGCGTTGTCAATCTCGGATATCTTGTTTTTACGCTTTCTTGGCGAAATGTGTCACTGTCGCTGCTATCACAGGAAGCGCCCGCAGTATCATCGAGATGACTACTATCATCGTCATCAATTTCAATATCATCGGACGCACCCAGCTTGGTAAGATTGATCATTGCGTCTTGGGTAGATTCGTCACTCCTTTTTTTGTCGTCGTCAAAGACTTTATATTCAACGTTTCGAATATCGAGTCGCACTCCATAACCTTGCAAAACCGTGTGTGCTTGATCGTCATCGTCCGATCCCATGTGCCGAACCACAAAAGGAATTTTGTTTTCTATCAGTTTGTGGTAAAACGTAGCAAATGAAAGACCTCCGAGTTGGGTGTACAAGATGAAGATTCCGGTGACCATCTCGTCGTCGTCTTCGCCGTGCACTTCCTTGCTCACGTCGATCCTCTTGGACCCCTGTCGAATGACCTCATCGGGCAGCAGCAATGCGTTTCGTTCGGTCTTGGTCAGTTTTGGCATTTCTGTATGCGATCTCGGAATGTTCGCAGAGGTCTCCACTAGAAACTCGGCCGTTTCTCCGTCCATTGTCTTATAGGTGATGACTCCAAAAGATTCCAAAAAATCGACATGTTCTGGATATCGATCGTGTGCAATTGTTCGATGCAATTCGCAGGTCGGGGCCATTGCCCGCATGGTTAGCGCCACCTTGAGCAAACGAAGCGTTTGTTCGTGTTTGTCTTCGAGTCCAGCGGCCAGTTCGAGAGCATACTCGGTAGCACGCTCAAACGTGACCAGGTGGTCTCTGCCGTGGTTGACCGCCAGGCCGTCCAGAAAGGAATAATCTCCTTTCAGAAAGCAAAAGGCCTCACACAGGACTGAGTGCATCGATGACGAAGGCCAGGGTGCCTTGACGGAAACCCTGATTTCGCGATTCACAATTGGAGAGACGAGTTCGAGTTCCTCTCCCGATGCAGAGAGAACTTCACCGTGGTTGTTCTCGTGCTCCTGGATTTCTGATTCTCCAAATATATAAGACCACGCGGATGCCTCACAAAACAACCCATTCCCATTCTTTGCTATGGTTGCAACCACAGCAATCCACGCGAGCAGAAAGCCAAAGATGTCCATGCCATTGAAAAACGAAGAAGAAATGGGGCGACGATGTGCTCCTCTTTGACGATGCATAATTCTCCCCAATCCTCGGCCTCGTTGTCTCCTCGAAATCATATCTCGTTCGCTGCGCTCCAGATTCCTGAAAAAGACCTTGGCCTGGTCTGACCTGATTGTTGATGCTCTTTGTTGTAGGGCAAGGCACCTCCAATTCTCAATGGATGAAGTACTCAATCGGTAGCAGTATACTCATAATCGTACGTACGTACTCGTACTAAGCAAACGGATTTTGAATTTTAGTTCTCTTGGCACCAATAATTACTGTACTACAAGTACCTACTACTACTGAAATGTCAATACCAAAAATCCATTTGCGAGTGAATATTATTGACATATCATGGAAGTCAAAACAAAACATAAAAAAGACTAAAACAGTTCTGACTGTATAGACTACTTTAAGAGAGTGATGTGTTCCCATGATGTCTTTCATGACTCCTTGTTGTTAAGATGAGAGGTCAATAACAATATTTGTCAATGTATAAAAAGCAGAATATCTACTATTGTTGGCTGGGACCATCACTAGTAGTAGCCTGGTCAATAACAATATTGGTCAATGGATGCCAATTACTAGATGCCAAATATTAGTATACTACTATCCTCCCGCTAGTAAAACCTCATCCATTGCACAGCTCCTGCTAGTAAGATAGGAAAGATAGTATACATAAAAACTGGTCACCAAAAATACTAACATGGTGCTACAGCGACAGTCAGGCAAGAATAACACAGTGTATCACATTGATTTAGGCTTGATTCCGACATTACTGCACTGACAATTGTACAGAAGCAAGAAGAGGTTAGGAAGAATGGTGATCTTTCTTTCCCCCCAAATTCCTCCAAGATGGCTGAGCTTATCTTCTTCTTCTTTCATTCACAGGAATTGTCCTTGAATCATATGCATCCCCCATTCATATAATTCTTGCCTAACAGCTGTTGCTTGTCTGCTTATAACTACAGCTTGGGTGTTCCCTTCCATAATATCAATTGTATTGGGATCATTGTGGTGGCTACTACTGTAGTACAGACAAGTTTGATGTATTAATTCTTCAATAAAAATCTAAGGGTAGGACCAGAAAATTTGATGGTTGTAAAGTTGCAAAACAACCAAACAACGATTACCATCGTGCCTTTTTTGAGAGCGAGTTCAACCAACCCGTCGCTTCGAGTGCATAACAAACCCACCAGTATGATACAATGGAGAGTCTTTTGTTTTTCGCGACCGGAGCCAGCAGCGGAGTCGGCTTGGAGGCGACGCGGCAACTCGCCGTTCACCTTTCTCGCCAGCAACAAGAAGAACCGAATCGAAACAATAGCAACAGCGATGGTAGCAATAATCAAGTTGTAGCAACGATTTATCTGCTATGTCGTTCGAAAGAGAAAACTCAAGCAGCCATTGAGGACATTTACAATAGCATTGGCGAAAACAGCAGCAATGCTAAGAACAACATCAAATTGAACTTCCTGAAATTCGATGCCTGTGACGATGCGGAAACGATCGTCAATAACATTCAATTCAACAATGCCACCAAGATCGCTGGAGTCTTGCTCAATGCCGGTGGTTTCGGCGAGAACGCCACGGGAATAGACAAGAACATCAAGAGCAAGACTTCAGGCAGCAGCAGTAACATTGCAAAACTGAACATTATTGGCCACGTAATTTTGGTCAACCATTTGCTCTCGGTGGGAAAGACGGACGCATCCACCCGTATAGTTGCCGCCGGATCCGAGGCCTCTTTCGTAACACAGGGACTGTCAATACATGCCTATAACGCAGCAGACTTTGAGGCGCATCTATCGTCATCATTGGGAAGCGGCAAAATGGCCATCGGAACAGAGTACGCATGGACAAAGGGAATTCTTGCGTTATACTGGGCGGCCTTCGCTCGGCACCATCCCGAGGTGTTTGTCACGACGGTTTCGCCAGGGGCGGTTTCTGATACGCAGCTACTCTCCAATGTACCATTTTTCTTGCGGACTCTTGCCCGTCTGTCCCAGTGGTCGTGCCTGGGAGGAAGCCACACGGTACAAGAGGGTGCCAAGCGGTATGTCAATGCGCTCATCAACGACATCCCAGTGGGAAGCAGTGGATCATTTCTAGCTTCGCGAAAGGGTTTTGCTCAAGATTTTGGAGATGTTTCATCGCTTTCAAAGTGCCAGTTTGTCTCTGACATTGAGTTGCAAGACAAGGCATGGAAGGCAGTCCACAATAGTCTTGAACGGTAACGGCAAGCACGAAGGAGACGACTTCAAAACACTCTAGGCAACCTAATGGATCCCAACACACAGCAATTTCACATGATGATGCAAGAATACTAAAAATCATCGAGTCAAGTCGACCACAAGGCTACGTATTCTATTCCAATATTTATCTGATTTGCAAGTATGGATTCAGCGAAGTCAAGCAGCACAGCAGCATACTATTTGCAGCAATGCCTGTAGACTGACAACGACAAACAAAAATATTACTGTATTTGATTTGACAAGGGATAACAACAGCTTCCATGTTGATGTCATTACTGCTCTGACTCAGTATTCAATTGCAAAATAGGTTCTTCGCTCTGCAAGGGAGAGAAAGGAAATGTGGGAGACATTTCAAACTTTGGAGATGAGCACCAGGAACACCTGCAAATGAAGCCTATGAACTTCCAACAGGCAATTTGTCACAAAGGAGTTAACATTTTTGTAACTCCACGACCCTGAAAACTCTTTCCCAATTTTTTTGTGAGCGTGGCAGAACCTTGTTGGTCATACCATGTGTAGCACCGAATCATAATAACAAGACAGGTATGCATGCTTGTGTTCATGGTACTCAAACAAGAGACAATCAATAGAAAGATGTCAAGTATGATATAATCAGCAAGCTACTTGTGGCGTACATGTAATCTGTGTGTAATCCAAGATTTTGTATTCTTGAAAAAATCCCATCAGGAGATCTCCTCTTATTCCAAACTGTCTTCCTAGCTCCATAGCTATTAGCTTTACCAGGTCTTGCATGGTCTTGTAAGGCTTGTATATTTATCAGTCAACACCTTCCAGAACTTGTCATCAACAAATTCATCAAACTGAGCCTTAGTCATCTTGGTTCTGATGGAAGGATCAGCTTCATGCATTGTGTTATAATCATGCTTAGTAATGAAGGCAAGGAGCCCCCCTTTGTTTTAAAATCTTTTTCCTTGAACCGGTCATCTCTCTCATGAAGAGAAACAAAGAGCTGAGAGGCCCTCACATTCATAGTACCAGTTTTGTTATTCTTCAGGTGTCTTGCCCAAACTTTGAGTACCCATTTCATTATCTGCTTACTTACAGCATTAGTTTTTCCTGTTACATGCTTGCAGAATAAATAATCCTCAGTTAGTCCATCTTCCATTAGACCTTTCTTGTGAACATCTCATACATAACTCTGTCTCATGGATCATTATTCGCTGGATCTCTAGCTGCTGCAACAATCTCCACAAAGTGTTTGTGAATAGTCCTCATTGTCGTCTTTGTATACTTCTAAGTTTTTGCCTCTGCCTCTTGATATTCATCACTCCCAAGAGTGTTGAAGGCGTTTGCATTGTCTACAATGGTCTTTGTGTACTCAATGATTGCAGCATTGTTGCTGTTGGTGGTTGACAAAGGAGGTTCTGGTGGGTTAGATGCTACTTCTTTGCTAAGTGACATGGCTGGTGCTGATGAAGGAGTATCTTTCAGTGCTCCTGCTGGTGGTGTTTTGTTTCGGGAGGTTGGGGGAGGAACACACAGGCACCTACCACCAGGGGGCAGTGGTGATTGTACCAGTGGTGGTGGTGGAGGAGGAGGTCTTCTTTGTGTATTGTTCTTTTTGTATTGCTTTGCATATGGACTTCAAACAGTAATCCAAGTTTTGTATTCTGCTCAATTTTTGTTTTTGGTGGAGTTGTAATCTGGTTCAGCCAAACATCTGTACCGTACTCGTAAATGCTAAGAACGTACCGTGCGGCGGGACGGTCGGTAGGCACGAGCATTGATAGAGCACTGTGGCGGGTACGAGTAGCGGCTAGCAGGACAGAAGAATAACAAACTGCTCTTTCAATTAACAATCCAAACGGTTTGATAGCATCTATTGATTCCCGACTAAACAGCAGGCCAAATCGACGTAATGTCCCAGGCAGTTGAACTTCATTTGGTTCCTACACCGGGAGCGAAACCCGAGTTCTTGTGTGCAATCAAACCAATCCCGAAGGATGGGAACACAAATAATCACAATCCACCAAGAATATGGCAATCGATTGTTAATAGTTTGAACAAGGTGATTGTTCTGGAAGGTTATACCCGGGAATCCTGGGCGACAGATATGAATGGCGGTACCTGGTCGTCTTTCCAGGTTCAGTCTGTCGATGGACGCAACAAATTGCCCGGATTTGTCAAGTATCTGAGGGAAAGGCAGAAGACTTGCTTTGGGCGTTTTGTCATGGATGATCACAAAAGCAATACCGATAACACAAACACGAAACAAACAACATTTGTTTGGGTCATTTCTTACAAGCAGACAAGTTCGTCGCGGTTGTCCTGTCGAGTGGCACCCATCAATTCCATTCCGAACTGTAACCTCCGTCAAAAGACGTCTTCGGTTACTGTTCCGCCCGGTCGAAATCGGCCACGAAATTCGGAACCCACCGCGAAATCGAAACCAAAAAAGAAGGGTTTTGGACTGTTAGGAAACCTAGTGGGCGCACAACGGCGTACGAATAATCAAGTCGTCACTGCCAGCATTGCTACCGCTCCGAAGTCAAAAACCAAGCACTCGATGACCTCTGTAGAGAGCCATGCCGAAAGCAACGACGACGAAACCCCGGATCATCCAACCGGTGGGGCAAATGGCAACTCTGCAAACGAGACGCAAAGAGACGATAGTGATCTGCCTTTGACCACTTCTGCCCAGGTATTGTCTGATTTTAGACGCGAAATGGAACAGAAAATGCTGGATTTCGACATTTCTCCCGAGATGTCCATAAAGATATTTGTGCGGTTGGCGGATCATACCAAAAAAGTGAGAGAAGTGGACAAAGGAAAGATAAGCATGGAAGTTCTCAAGTATATTGTCTATGAACAGGCCGAAGAAGTTAATGACGATTGGATCGCCCAAAAGGAACCAGGCGAATTTACGGACGAAATTACGGTGGCTATTTACAAGGACGCCGAGTCTGCCCCCCCAGAGGTCATCGAGGAAATGAATGCGGCCGAGATTCCCGAAGAAATGAAGGCCCAGCAAAAAATGATAGAACAAAAGCAGCGTCAGCAAGAAATCAACGCCCGTCGCATCCAAGAGGCCTTACAACGACAGGCCTTGAGAAAGATGGCCGGAGGGGGGGAGGGAAAAGGCCCAAGCCTTTCGGTTCTCAACACGGAAAAACGAGATTTGAGAACCATCGAAGAGATACAGCAAGACAGTGCAAAACGACGGAAAATGGAGTGAATCGAATTAAATCGCGGCAAAAATGGAAATGAAACGGATCGGCAGAAGGAAAACATCCAACCACGGGAATAATGTGGTATCAGTCGTTGAGCCATTCGGTCGCGCACATGGCCCAACTCACTAATCGAGAAAGTAGTTCAAGAGCAAAGAAAGAAATCTATGGTAGCTAGACATTCCGTAGTTTTGAATCTTTGTAATGCACGGGCAAGTCCTCATTTACTGGGATAAATACAAAAAGCACATGCCTGGTTCATGTTCCTTCGCCACTCGTATATGTGGTCGAAGGTCCGGGTATAAAATCACTCAGCTCTCTAAGCGCTGCGACATTACATTCTTCGACTGATTCTACTCAATAAAAATTGGTACGACACCACCGACTCGATTCTAGGAGATGCTTTCGTTAGAAAATCGCCATCGATCACAGATTATGATGTGCCGTCCTCAGTGCCCTATTTTCACTGCTGGATTCTCTGATCATGCCGTGCTATGGCTGGATTTTTTCTTTGACACCGATGCCCAAACGAACAACAAAAATAATGTTGAAAATCTAGTACTGATGAATTGAAACATGTTGTAATATACATAATCATAAAACATATGTCTTCTTCAAGATGTTAAATTAATTTATGTCTTTAACCTTCCTAATAATGCGAAGCAGAACACAAAAATTGTTTCGTAAAAGTTCAAAAATGTAAGATAGTCGTGAATCAAAATCGAGACATGTAAGAAAGGGGTGCACCAAAAGGTCTTGCTCTCAAGCATGGATATGTTTTTGTTGTGGGGTGCATGGTGTCTTCAGAAATGGTCGGATTTTCTTTCACCACGAGCGAAGTACCCATTGTCATCACGAGACATTGCCTTTCGATAGCTAGCAACTGAGTTGGTAAAAATATCAAGAAGTTGCTAGTGCGATGCTAGTGTGATCATCTTGTCGTTGCTGTTGCTGCTGTTCATCAATCTGTTGATGGCGCCCAGAAAAGGGACGTCCTCTCGAGATGTCATCAAGCGCTTCCCTTAATCGAAATTTGGCATCTAAAACAGGTCGAACGTCTTCGTGTTTGTCCAATTCGTTTAGCAAGTCCAACACTGCTGGCAATGTCGTGTCTCTGCTGTCATCATAAAAGCTCGAGACCAAAATTCCATGCTCCGGGTTGGCCAAAAAACTGAGAAAAAAAAAACACGTGAAACGAAAACCAGAGCTTGCGTGAGAACAAAGATTGAATCCTAACCATTACACGACAAGTGGTTTGAAAAGTATCTTACCTCAACGGATTGTTATCTACCAAAACTGTGCGATTCAATCGCTGCTGACGCTCGTGCTCGTCGTAAGAATCACAAAACAAGTCGAGGTTCTTAATATATGCTCCCACTGTTGAGTCCAGCTGACAAGATTCCCTGTAATGAATCCCGGAAAATATATCCCCATGAGGATCCAACATCTTCAACACAGGCTTTGCATATACCTCCATCGCGGCAGTGAAAATGTGTGTTTCGTATTTCGAAGATACCTCCCGAAGAAACTCGTGTAAATGAGGGCGTTCGTGAACCAGCACTCGTTCTCCGTCGGGCAATGTGATGTTGAAGGTCTCCACCCCTTTGCTACTCGCACCATCGAGGGAGGAGGATCCTTTTTGTTGTAATTGATGGGCGTATTTTGCACCCGGTCCTTCTAAAAATTGCGAGTGAATCAAGCATTCGTCCATGTCAAGCACAACTACAAGATCCGATGTGTAATTTCTTGGGAGTCTAGTATGCTTCTTTCGAAATCGGTGCTTTTGTCTTTGCTGCTGCTGTGAAGGAAATAAACCTACACCAGTGGCCTGCTGTGCCTTGAGATCGTTCACGTGAAGTGGCAAGGTTTTCCCTTTCACCACTATTCGCCGTTGCTGCTCCTGCTGTTGATATTGTTTCGCGGGACATCGTTGATTACGCGAATGGCGTTTTGAGGGTAAAACCCATGACGATAACGAAGACGACGATTGTGCTCTACTAGCATTATAGAGAAATCGATGCGAACGTGATTCTATTGTCTTTAATGTGCATAGCAAACTTGCGCTTGCCATCTTGCGATTGATTGCGTTTGACCCTTTTGAAGTGATCCTTAGTAACAAAAGAACGCGTATCTAAAGGTATTAGTTCGTGTATGATAGAGGGGTTCTCTATTGTTGCCCTAATAGATTTTTGTAAACCGAAGTCTGTGTGAAGCTCTGCGACACGGACGGGATATTGTTGAGAACCAGGATGAAATTGTACAGAATTGATCGATGGAAGTTGTACGGACGAACAAAAAAAACCAAAAAAATGCATTTGCATCCAAAATTGTTGAAAGTTCTGACACCATCGAAAATCGTACAAAATCGTAAGACTCGTACACAGTACCACTGTAATACGATGTTTAATTTAACGCTTTGCTCTGGATTTTTGTATTCTCTCTCATTCTTTCCTGCATGTGCGTAAAGTTCTTCGGGAAGTTGCATTCCAATCACGGATGCTGTTCCTATGCTACATACTTACCAGTCATGTCTCCAATGCAAAATGGTGAGGAACAGTTGAGAATCGTTCATGATACTCGTACGTAAAGCTTAGTACTTCTAAGTAACATTCATTATTATTATTATTGTTTGAAATAAATTACAAGATAGGCATCGGGATTTGAAACGCAACTTCGGAAACCAAGAAGAATTGATTCTGTAGCTTTACGCGTTTAGAAGGCATACCATCATAAATTTAGTGCCATGTGGGTGATCGTGAGAAATCCTTTTCTTTCTGTAGTTCTTTGCTTTTCTCCTTGTCTGCAGATCCACGAGTTTTGCCTTTGAGTTTAACAAATGCAGAAACACTTCTTTTTAAAGCAACTCCCACACGATTTTTCTTTTTAGGTTGCTTTTCTTCAACTTTGACATAACTATTGTCACTATCATCAGTACTGACATTATCGTCATCGTCTTTGGCAGCACTGCCCTCAGTGGAAGATTGACCATCTTCGCACGAACTTCTACACCAGTTTACAATCAATGTGCAAAAGCATCCCCAACCAGTTACTATGTCCTCTCCAATGCATCGCAAATATCCCACAAAATTTCTTCCACCCTTCGATTCAATCGCCCGTGATTCGTTCTTCACGAGGTATGTAAGAATGAAAACTGTTACGGTAAGGGCGAGTAACACCCAGCTGACGATGTGAAGGGGTAACTTCAACATCATGTTTCTGTACGCACGTTCAGCATTACCACCATGGGCAACAGTTCTTATAGCAAAGTCATAACTCTGCTTCTTGCCGTATGGATCAGGGCAACCATTAGGGTACAATCTTCGATCACAGCTCCAAGAGTTACTCAATAGCATCGTCACGTCCTCGACCGATGCTTCATTGCCGTACTGATAAATGTTGTGACACCCAATTGCACTGTGTTGTTCATTATATTCGTCGAAGTTATTTACGATTCCTGCAAAGTAGTTTCCATCGCAGCTGGAGGATTCGAATGCAGCGATGACATATTCGCCATCGGGGCCACAACCGAGTGTTCCACTAAATTCATTGTTGTCGTTGCTACCAGAACCAGAACCGGATTGATCTTCGTTCACGTTATCGTCATAGCCAGAGCCGTATTCAATCTCAACACAAATTTCATTTGCAGAGGAACCATTGCCATCTTCATTGTTGGCATTGTCATTACTACCATTATCCTCGCCGTTATAATTGTAAACAACTGGCGATTCACCAATTGACTTCAAGAGGTTGTCTGCACCGCCGTACGTAAAGAAAGAATTGATGAAATGCCTACGAGAACATCCAGAGAAAGAGGGAAAGCGCCCGTCCTCTTTCTTTCGACCGTACAGAGAATATGCTGCATTCGCACAGAAGCCTTGGGTACGATACTGATACCATTGCTCATCTCCATCACGATTGTCTCCCGTGTACCCGTCGTCGGTGTCATCGACGTTGCACTCGGACCAAACACACGAATGGGGTTTAATCCAAAGTTTGTCGTAGCTGTCCAAATCAGATATAATGTCAGTTGCTTCAATCCAAAAGGATTGAAACTGATTCAGCGATACCGATCCGACCTGCGCTTCGCTACTGCTGCTCCATGGTAACCAATTTGCATCAACACCGTTGACATTGACGACCCCAAACGTTATTGCTGCAGCCACAAAACGGAAGAGTAGATCACTTGTTGTCACCATTGCTGATATTTTTCGATTGCAATGTGTATTCGTGCGAGAAACTATGACACCTCGTCGGAGGATATCGTAATGTAAAGCCAAATGTACTTCGATCTAAGCGCTCATACTCTTGGGATTGCAAAAATATATCTGTACCCGCACCTCCATGAGCAAAATAGATGAGATGAATTTGGCGTTTGGACCGTTCAATCGTCAGTTAACGCCAATATAACTTTAAATGGGATTGATATGGAAGTCACTAGAATCTATTATGCGCCCCGTCATGCGTTGGCACGTGCGTTTCACTTCGCCAAGTTAATTGTAAAAATTAGTACTTAGGTACAGGATCATTTATGAGAGTCGCAACTCGACTGTAGTACTATCGCACAGAAGAAGTACCAATTAAAATGAAATCTTCGTCTGACATTCCGATTATTTCACCGTATGGCACGGTCACGTGCATGTTGATGTTCATAAAATTCTTCTGAAACATAAAAAATCCAACGTTGTTTAGTTGATGAATCCTCTACCATACGATGACCTTGATCAATCGATACACATCGCTTTTTGTGGTGCTTATGACGTCGTTATCAATGGTAGACAGAGCTGCCTCGAAAAGGATTGGTTCAATGCCGTACCTCCGAGATGCTGACTTACAAAATTATATCTCTTCGAGTTCGTCATCTTCCTCTGAGAACAATGGCCAGTGGGTATCCATGTCAGAAGATGTACAGTTTATGCCAAATTCTAATTTGCGTCCGTTGCGAAAGCCTACTAGAAAACTTCGTAAGCTCGAATCAGCAGAAGCGGAAGAAGAAGAAGGAGAGAGTACAACAGGGGCATGGGAAGCGTATGACCCATACAGCGTACAACCATTTGTGGAAGGTATGTCGGAGTACGACGAATACCAACAAGCCTGGAGATTATTGGGTTTTATGATAGATTGCAACATGTCGGATGACGATGACAACAATGGATCTGGAAGCGGAGATACCACGGAAGATGGTTGTGCAAGATACGTCCTCTGGGCTGCAGTAAGTAAATGATGTTTCGTTGTCATTGTCTAGTTCTTGATCGATGACAATAACTACAATCCCCATGCGTTTCGTTTCGTGAGAAGCCTCTAAATTGTACGTTGTAACCCTTTCCTTTATTCTGCATATCATTTTAAAAAAGTATGTTGATTTGGATTACGAAGGAGGTGGAATCGGTGAATACCAGTACTGGGATCGTGATACTGAGTCATGGGACGATACTGCTTGTTATTACGCGGATGCCGGAAGTGGAGATGGCAACAACGATGGCAATGATGACGCAAACAGCAAGTCCCGCTGTGCCAAAATGGATTGTCACCTCGAGGATACAAATTTTTCTGTTTTGGGATTTTTCAAGCACCGCAATTACGACGATTGGATGGAGCAATTGTTCAAACACGAAGGGATGTGCGTCTGGTCTGATGAAGAGTATGCATTCATGAAGAATGCTAGAGAGGCATGGCCCCAGGGTTGCATTGATTCTGGTCTAACGTCTGAAGATGGTGAATACAATCTCTACTACAACATCAAACCAATGAGGAATGGCCGGATCGCTCCTGGTTTCTACACTGATACCCAGTGTCTTGACGACTATTCGGTGACAACTGATGAGATGGAAGACATGATTGGAAACATCTTTTTTGACGGAAATGGTAGTGGAAGTCAAGATGAGAACTATGACTTTTCCTCAGAATCTTTGTCTGAGTCGTTGGATCGATGGAATTCTGCCTTCGATGTTTGGCATACTTGTCATCCATGTGTAGCACATGATCTCGAGAACATTTATGGGGATACGTACACCGATGACGGGTACAATTACAACGGCAACTATAACTATGGTTATCGTCGTCGACGTAAGTTAGGTGGGGAATACAGTGCCCAGGGAGATATATTCGAATGTTACGATGATGCTGGATATACCAATGTCAACCAGTGCATGAAGTTTTCAGCGAAAACGGTAATGAAAACGGCAACATTTCGTGATTTGTCACTAGCACGGACCCAGACAACTTTGGTTGAATATCCTTTGAGCGGATTTCTTGATGCTTCTGACCGTTATCACATGAATATTCTTGGTAACTTTGCCACATACTTCTGTTTATGTGCCGTGGTGTTGGCTTTCTATTATTCTCTTTACAATCTGTACAGAGTTTCGAAGGCTGCGGAAGCTGAAAGGCAGCAAGGCAGCAATAAGGATTCCCTACTGACGGAATAAGGTGATACTGGCAACATGAAATATTCTGATGCTTCGTAAATGACTGCTCATAGGTAATCTTATTTGTTAGAAAGACTGGATTGCAAAGACAAACGAAAATTTTCGTTTCTTCATGCTACTTGTGCCACTGATACGATCCGACTGGCATCACTTGTGCAATCGTCGTCTATCAAATATATTTGATGAAGACAACTGTCCAAGAAAAGTGAATGGTGTGCATAATCTACCTAGATATGTGCTTGAAGATCGTTCATAATAGTTTGTTGGGTTTGGAATCTAATATGTGCTTGATTCCTCTACTGTACGATATGTTAAAAATGTAACTGCTTTTAAAATTAGTAGAAGTACTACCTTATCATTCCTCGGAATTGACCAAAAAATGAACTAGCCTGCCTATCCGGAGATTTCGAATGAACGTTTTCAATGAAGACCGAAATCAATTTAAGAAAGCCAATTGAAAATGATATGCTCCTAGCTGATAGCAGATCAGCATCGCGTAAATGATATTACTGTGTAATTCGAATCAGAGCAACAGCGAGCAATATTACTGAGTACACCCGAAGAAAAAGGGGCGTCGAAACTCCATATGAAATTTTTTCCACTCTACGGAGAAGTTGAATAGGCTTGATTGTGAGTCCGCAGTCTCAGTTATGCAACATCTTCCCGGATCGATCTGAACATCGCCACGAAAAAGGACCACGAATTCGTCAAGTGTATTTCTATTTCAAATCACGACTTCACTGAAGAAATGGATTATCCGCCTGTGCGCCCTTTTGTCTACAAGCATAGTCAACGAATGGGAACGGCACGTATCAAATACATTATGAAAAGGACAAGGAATTTCAGTCCTAAAATATCTTAGAGAATCACTCAGTTTTGCGAGGGAATATGTTGATGATAAGGCGTTCATCAAAGGAGAAATTGAAATTTAATCCTGAAGAATTATTGAATTTTTTCTGAATCCTGACCATCTTATTTGTCACGTTGAGCACAACCAACAATTGAACTTCAACAGTGGACGGATCCCCTCCCTCCATTCGCGAGAGAATAGTTCCCGAAGCTCTTTTTGGATTGCATTCCACGTATATTTGACAACAAGATATATTACATGGACCGAATAAGTCTACAATGAGCACTCGTAATTCACTTATTCGGTTGCCATGAATATCCAGCTCTGACGATGCTTCGTCCACTCAGTCTATTTTGTTTATCGTCGCTTAGCCGGACCTCCGCGGGTGAGACCTTTGGCGGCTGCCGCCGATTGTCCGGGCTTCCTCGCAGTAGTCTTAGTGTCTTTTGCAAGCTTTGATTTTCCGGGGCGTGGCAATTTAGTTCCGAGCTTGCGTTCTAATTTGCTGATAATTTGGGGATTCGGAATTGCTTTTCCGGATTCGTATTCGGCCACGACCTGAGGTTTTTCGTTGATAGCCGTTGCTAGTTCCTTCTGAGTCATTTTCTTGGCCGTTCGGGCCTGCATGATTGCCTTTCTTAGAGACATGTCGACCTTGGCAATGGTTCCTACGTCGGTGGCCTCCTCCAGCTGTTTGTATCGGGATTATAGACGTCATAATGATCCAGTTTCAGCGCACCCGATTTTGAGGAGGCGCAAATAAAGGGAAGAAACGAATGAATCGACACGAGCCATCGGCAAATTGGAATTAGACGTGGACTCACAATCGTTTGCGACAACCATAAACATACACCAAAATTTCCAATTTCTTTATTCCGATCTGTTGCAGCATAGGTGACCTACCTTTCTCGCCGACATGATGCCTCCGCTGTGTGCCGATGCATTTCCACCGGCCCCATATCGTTTCTCCACGCCAACCGATTTTTTCGCGGTAGGGCGAGACGCACGTCCGACATTGACAGAACCCCAGTCTTGAACGTGGGCTTGGTTAGTTCCCGTTGGCATGATTCTTTATGATGTTTTGTTTTGTTTTGTTTTGCAATAGAAATGCGCAGCGATACGTTGCGAAGTGTCTCTATGATTTGTTTGCCCGAGATGTCGTCAGAAAGAGAGGGTGAAACGTAATGCCTTTCGTATCATAGTCGTTCAGATAACCAAGTGTCAGGGTCATGAGAGTCAGAGGAGAAAAATTGAAAATTGAGACACCAATTGTAACGTAGGGAATATTGTTACGTACCAGTACTACTGCATCGTACAGTAAAGTAACCCCTACAGAACGTCACGATTTGAACGATTGGCCCGCCCTCAGACTACAGCTACGTTCACTTTTTCTCGTTCTTTTTTGCGCAGTCGCCTCGAGAGGAAATTTTTTTGCGCGATTTTTGAGTCCCTGTTGCGCGCACTGTTGGTGGTTCACGTGCATCACCGGTCACCAATCGTTAACAGATTAACAGAATACAACTTGGTATTTTTTTCTGAAGCGATGTATTTTTACGGCCTACCGTACGATACGGTACTTTCAACAGGTGCCAGTACGGTACAAACTGATGTTTTCGATTTTTTTGAATTTTGGAGAAACACGGACCGAGAATTGTAGAACTTGCCAACCTCCCGGGATGTTCAATGAAATGGAGGATCGATACGCATCAAAAATTCATACACAGGAGATCATTTATTACAGAAGAGAGAACTGAACAATAACCAACAACGATCAGGAAGTATCTCAGAAAGAAAACATGACCGACGACAGGATAGATCCCAAACTCAATCATCTTATCCGCAAGCGCCTATCAGCGAATGCTTCAGAAAATGAAAATCTAAGTGCAGATCGGCTTGCAGAGTGGTTGCGTCATAACCACCGAGAATACCAACGAAAAGATTTATCGAGACTTACCMGTCAAGTCCAAACCATTCTTACAAACATCGAAGAGAAACTCGAAGAAAAGGAATACGACAAAGAGGCCAGAGCTTACGACGAACAGCGTGAAAAATTCAACAGGAGCAGCAATGGTCTGAACGCATCGCTTACAAACCGATACCGAAAGCTCCAACAAAAACGCGATGCCGATGAAGAAGCCAATCGGGCCCTGCAACAAGCAGAGGTAGGCGATTTGGCCGAGACCGACGAGGGGATGGACACCTATGCATCGAACGACGATGAAAACAATCGTGGGGAATTGCGAAAGAAAAGAACGCGAGAGGATTCCAGTAGTAAAAGCAACAGTCAATTGTCGTTGGAAAAGCGTGCTTCGAAAATGATGATCAGTGGGAAATCTACGAAACGCAAAAAGAGTGGGAGGCGCAATTCTTCAAAACCAGGCGGTGAAGGCCCCGGTCTACCAGGACGAGATGGGGGTGCAGGTATGTGCGAAGCTGTACCCCGACCCAGCGAACGATATTCAGACTTGGGAGGTATGGGAGACGTCCTGACACAAATACGACAACTGGTAGAATATCCATTGGTTAGACCCGAACTATACCGCCATTTAGGCGTGGATCCACCGCGTGGTGTATTATTGCGAGGTCCCCCGGGGTAAGATTACGACGTGTCGATTCTGACGATTTAATTTTCCAGAGTCGAATGTTGTTGCTAATTGGTACTGGGGATACAATTTGTGGGACTTTCCGTCTTTTCTTACCGTGTCTGCCTTTCGTACAAAATACTTTTTGGTGTCAGCTGTGGCAAGACACATTTAGTCAACAGCATAGCCGGCCAGCTTGGGATTCCTTATTTTCGAGTAAGCTCACCGGAGCTTGTATCGGGAATGTCAGGAGAATCAGAAGCAAGGATACGTGAACTCTTTCAGACTGCTTCTGATTCGGCACCAGCCATCGTATTTTTAGATGAGTTAGATGCTATAGCTCCGAAACGAAGTGATGGTAAGGGGATGGAAAAACGAATGGTTGCTCAATTGCTAACGTGCTTGGATATGCTGGATCCCAAAAACAATCGGCAAATGGCACCCGTGCTCGTGATGGGTGCAACTAATCGAGCTGAAAGCATCGATCCGGCGCTGCGACGAGCAGGCCGTTTTGACAAGGAAATCCTCATAGGAGTACCAGATGAGGAAGCCAGGATTGGTATATTGACAACCATGACGAAAAATATGAAGCTAGGCGGGGATTTCAACTTGAAGGTCTTGGCACGGATGACACCCGGATATGTGGGTGCCGATGTTCGGAGTTTGACCAAAGAGGCAGCTGTCATTGCTATCAACCGTATATTCAAAAACGTTCTTGTTGATCAGAAACTTCCCTCTGATATGGTAGACGAAAACAACGATAATCCTCCACCTGTGGCTCCGTTGACAACAGAAGAAATGGAATCACTTCACATCACCATGCAAGATTTTCTAGATGCGATTCCAAAGGTTCAGCCGTCGAGCAAAAGAGAAGGTTTTGCAACAGTTCCCGGTGTATCTTGGGATGATATTGGTGCTCTAGGGTCGGTGCGCGAAGAGCTGACCTTGAGTGTGTTAGAACCCATCCGCAACCCCGAAAAATTTCAAGCACTGGGAATTCCTCTGCCCGCTGGTGTTATGTTGTACGGTCCTCCAGGGTGTGGAAAGACGTTGTTGGCCAAGGCAATTGCGAACGAGAGCGGTGCAAACTTTATAAGTGTCAAGGGGCCAGAATTATTGGACAAGTATGTGGGTGAGAGTGAACGGTCCGTTCGTCTGGTCTTCGAACGTGCTAGAGCTTCTTCTCCGTGCGTGGTATTCTTCGACGAGCTCGACAGTCTTTGTCCCAAACGAGGAGGTGATAGCAGCGGCGGTGGGGTCAGCGAAAGAGTTGTAAATCAACTTCTTACAGAAATGGATGGTCTAGAGAGCAGGAGGAGCGTGTTTGTCATTGCTGCCACCAACCGACCAGAGCTCATAGACCCGGCGATGATGCGACCGTAAGCTCACTTTGGAACGTAGTATTTCTGAATGTTTTGTTTTCTAAATCACTTATGTGTACCTCTCACCTTGATTCACGTTCATCTATCTACGTTTGCCCATTTTTCTGTTTACAGAGGCCGTTTGGATAAGCTCCTTTACGTTGCATTGCCCGAACCAGAAGATCGGGTTTCTATCCTCAAGGCTATTTCTAGTAACATCAAATTTTCTCCCGATGTTGATCTTCATAAGATCGGCACCAGCCCGAAAGCCGACAGTTACAGTGGCGCTGATTGCGCAGCTCTATTACGCGAAGCTGGATTGGCTGTTCTGAAAGAAAGTTGTGAAAAGGCCCAGCCGCTGTCGAAGGACCAAAATTCAACTGATATGGAGGTCGACACCAATGACGACAGCTATGCTGCTTCTGCTCTTTGCATTCGTCCTCGCCATTTTGAATATGCATTTGCCCACGTGGTGCCATCGGTCTCACGAAAAGACCAGGCTCGATACCAACGAATGCGAGACCGAATGGCACAAGCTCGGTGTCGAGCTGTTGTGGCCGAAGCCGAACCCGGAACGAATGGTGACAGCGGAGAAAAGAACGGCAATGGCGCCAAACAAGAGTGATTCATTCGGCAGGGGGGATGACAATTGGTTTTCATCGCAACGGAGAGACTTTTTCGATGTATCGCACCTTGAAAACTATATACTTATCGAAGCTTTTTATAGTTTGACATGGTGCTGTCGGCAGTGTACAACATGCTGCGGACACAATAAAATGTACCTCGTGCAAAACAAACAGGTGCTACACGTAGAGTACTACTAGAAAATCAAATTTTACATTTTCATTGCATAATTTTTTGAGAGTTTTGAACGCGCCATGCCTCCAGTACTACCTCCTTGACTTTTCATCACGTACAAGTTCTTGGATTGCTCGTAGCTGCCTATCATCCAGTCGATGACAGCCTAGTGTCGGCGAAACTAGAACAATTTCCAGGGTGCGATTCGACGAGGACTCTGACGACCCGTGTTGTTCGGCATGACTCGCCTCGTCATTATTCTTCGCACCAACATCGCCCTTTGTGGTCTCCTGGATAAGAATTTTGGCCACACAGGCAATGCGTTCCGCCAGTGACGGTTCTCGACGATTTTGTTTGTTCTGTCGCAGGTTGTTTTCGAATTTCACCAAGGCTTGATCTATGCGCTTGTGGAGCTGGCGTTGAAGACTGGGCGATCCCCCCACGACACATCGGACTCGGCTTTTGATAGCACCGTTTTTGTCTGCAGCGTCTTTTCTTCGTAGCAACGACTTTTTCTTCTTTTTGGGGACACCAAAAGTGGTGGCTGCGCTTGATTCGTAGTGGTGATGTCGCTGTTTTTCTTTGTCATCATAAGTATTCGGTCGAGTGTAGTGTTGTAAGATTCCACCAGAGGGATCGGTTTGATAAATCAAGCTTTCGGATGATTTCGCGCGGTACCCGTCGTCGCAATCGTATCCGCACAACACTAGCGTCGATCCATAGGGTCGCAATCCGCCCGCAAACACCCGGCTCTGGCATTCGTCGGCCACGGCTTGTGCCAGGGATTCCATGCCAAAAAACATCTGGTACTGTAGCGTGTGTTGCCCCGCTGCTTTCATTCCCGCCTGCAACAACGCGAGACTGTCGGCCAGAATCCCCGACATGGCCACGCAATAGGAACGATTCAAACGACTAAGCATTGGCGGCAATCGTTCCTGCTTGCCGTCGTCGGTTTCTTCGATAATCACAATTCTGTGTTGGGGAGAGTTTGATTCCTTTGGAATGGCAATCAGAACTGTGCAAGGATATGATTGCGAGTTGTCGTTGGCATCTTCATCTCTATGTTCGTCATCGTTGTCACTAGTGCCATAAGTCGTAGAAAGGCATTCGAAAACGACCAATGGAGGACTCAAGTCGGCCGCGGAAGATGCGTATTCAACTTGGAGAAGGCGACCGTCAGGGGTAAACTGAGGTGTCGTCTGATCGTAGTTGTAAACGTTGTAGGTATTCCTATTAGTCGTCGAAGAAGCAGAAGATGGCGAAAGGAAGAACGAAAAGACTTGTAATAGTACGAAGGGGAAGATACGTACAAGAACGTCCTTTCGCCATCCATCCGCTGAAGCCATCATCCGTGTCCTAGCTGGTGCTACCGAAAGTTGATGTCGTTAAGAGTTTCGCCACCTTTGTAAAACCACACAATTCAGTTTTGTGTTTGCCGAGTTGTTTGACGACGCAGTGGTCAACCATATCCTGATAACGTTCTAGTCGTTGTAACAGTCGCTTGTGATCGAGAACAATCACAAAGGAAGGAGAAACTGGAGCGTTTCATACGGGGAAAATGATTGTACTTCAATTTTCTACTGCGTGCTGTACGAAGGGAGGAGGTAACTTCTCAGTAGGCAAAGAAGTTCGCTAAGGTATTTCTACTTGAAATTTACGACTACTAGTACGAGTACTGGTACCAGTTTTAGCGTTGTGAAGTGAGTTCTTGGCTCAGAATTCTAATACAATAACCTTGTTCAGCACGAAGAATTGATCTAGTTTTCTGCTGCTTTCCAACGAGTACTATGTAAATAAATATAGACTGAATCAATGAACATGATAAAATGACATGAAGCTATATAGAACTGAAGTTGCTATCTTCAATGGAAGGAAAGAGACGATTGACATATTTCCGATACCGATGGAATCCGGAAGCATGCACATGGAAAATGTAGTACATGAAAACACACCGAAAAGGACAGAATTGATGGGACAGACGTTGTAACGTTTGAAACCCAAAGATCTGATTCCATAATGAATGAAACGCCCAAATCTAAAATTTATAAAGGAACAAAATTCCAAGCTTAGAATCCGTCCCAGATCACCTTCTTCTTGGCTGCATACCATCCCTCAACCTTGGGATCATAAGTGTCTTCGATCGTGGCTCGCTTGATCTTTTGGGTAGGTGTCAAAAACCCGTTTTCGGGCAACCAGTCATCCTTGACGATCACCACGAACTGAAGCTTCTCGTGTCCATCGATCTTCGAATTGACGGAATTAATGAAATGTTCTTCCAACGCCTTACCCAACACTTCACGTTCACCTTCCGATCCGATGGCTTTCGCCTTGGGACTCTCGGAGAGTTGAATAATAGCGAATGGCTGAGGTTGCGACTTGCCTCCGACGCACGCTAACTCGACGTATTGATTGGAAATCAGTAGGTTTTCAATAGGTGCGGGTGCCACGTACTTGCCCTTGGAGGTCTTGAAGATTTCCTTGGTACGTCCGGTAATCTTGAGACGCCCCTGCTCATCCAATTCTCCCTTGTCTCCAGTGCGGACATATCCATCTTCTGTGATCGTCTCGGCAGTCGCCTCGGGATTCTTGAAGTATCCCATCATTTTACCGGGTGTCTTGACCTGGATCTCACCATCATCAGCAATTCGGCACACAACATCATCATATGTATTTCCCACGTATCCAACACGGGATTTACCAGGTTGGCTGAAGTGCGAGTAGTTAAAATTTTCAGTCATTCCATAGCCTTCCAAAAGTTCAAGTCCCAAACTTCTGTACCAATTCAATAGATCCTGCGGTAGAGGTGCACTTCCTGACCCTGCAAATCGAACCTTTGAAAGCCCCAATGTCTTCAGCAATTTCTTCTTGATGAGAATGTTGATCAAGGGGATACTAAGCAACAAATTGACCTTTTTCTCCGGCAATTTACTAAATACTCCGGCTTGGAATTTAGTCCAGAGACTAGATACAACGATCGCCATGTGAGTTTGTTTGATCTCAAACCAGAAACGGAAGTGATACTCAATGTGATTTCACCTAATCCAATGCGAGGAATTTACACGTGGGGAACTTACCGAGGGACCGACAAAAACAGAGTAGGCTCGCAACGATTTAGGTCGGCAATAAAAGTTGTAAGGGCCTCGGCATACCAAACTTGCTCTCCAGAATACAATGGAACACACTAAGAGGAAGAGAATATCGGCAGCGATACGTATTAGGAAAAAAATCTGTCTGAACCAAAATCCAAGAAGTAAAAATATGGTGCCGCCTTACCATTCCCAACCAACGCTCCATACCGTGTGCGATTGGCAAATAAGAGAGATAACGATCGTCGCTGGTGACGCTCAGTTCTTTGCAAATACCCTTCGTCGTGTCGGTCATGGCTCCGAACGACGTCATCACACCCTTAGGCCTGGACATTTTAAAAAAGAAAGTTAATGAGTGTTGAGCAAATCAGATTGATGAAAGAATCCTATCCATTTTCAAAAACTATGGCAAGTTGTTCAATGTCATTCAACTGAATAGGTTCCACTCACTTTCCGGTACTTCCAGACGTGTAAATGATTGTGGCCATCTCATCCTTAGTTCTAGAGACTGGACTCGCAATGGGAGAACTCGATGCAATCGCATCGTCCCACTTCTTGGCATGCAAGGTGTCCTTTGGACAAAGAGGAAAAGACACGGCATCGATTGAACTGGGAATTCCTCCCTTCATTTCTTGCCAAGGCTTCTCGTCGAGCTTTCCGATGAAAACCATCTTGGATTCAGAATGTTCCAAAATGTAGCCCGTAGTTTCGGCGGTAAGTGTTGGATAAACCTATTCATGCATTGAAACCAAAATAGAAGCAAGCGTGAGACTCTCACGTAATAACAATGAATCAACCAAACAACGAAGGTGTCAAAACACTAATCAATGGGTTCCGAGAACCATTCATCGCAGCATTCAAGACTCACTGGGACAGAGACATGACCAGCAAGCATGATGCCGATGTCGGCAATGAGCCAATGAGCACAGTTCTTGGAGCAGATCGCGATCTGCGACTTTGGTGGATACCCTTTGGATTCAATATAACCAGCCACTTTCTTGGCCTCATCAAGAACTTCCTGATAGCTGAAAGTCTTAACGACGTCTCCGCCCATAGGCTGGGTCAAGAAAGTCTTGGCACCAAGCTTTTTCACATTATCGAAAAAGAAGTCAAGGATTGTCTTTGTATCGTCCGACATGGTGGGTACTTCAATGATTATTAAAAAAAATTGATGCTAGAAAGGATTTGTGACAATTGGTTAATCTTGACAATGCTTGCGGTCACAATGCAATCAACGCAAATGGAGAAGTATGCCGTTTGCTAACTGTTCAAAATCGAGGTACAGTAAGTCAAGTACGTTACGTTACGTTACGTACGGTACGGTACAATATGCTACGAAAGCCTTCTCTCAAGATCATTCGTGTGACTTTCGGAACCCAAATTTGAATCTTGCAGCTTTTCAGCACGTGGATCTTTTACATCCCGAAGAGTGTGAGCAATACTGTAAATGCCTGCAAAGAACAAACCTGCTTTTGTACTTATTTTTTGTACGGGCCATACAGTAAGAAATGTCAACTTCTCTTTAGCGAAGCATTTTAGCGTTACGAAGTAGCGAAAAGAAGCATCTTTTGTTCTCAGTAGAATTACAGTACTCGTCCTAGTAGGTACCGTACTCCATACCGTATTCTACGCAATTCCGAAATCAGAAGTTCAAGCATGCGAGCATTTGATCCGAACTGCTCAGTACAGTAGGGTACCTAGTACGTAGATGCAGTACTAGTTTAAGAAAGACTCTCATTCTTTCGAAGATTTAATTTTTAAGGCAGTTTGAATCAGTAAAAACGGTCCACTCTTACGTACTACTTGTTACCGATTGAGTTGAAGGGGATGGGAACTTTCGCAGTCATAAATCAGTAGAGGAGAAGTAATACGTACTTACTGTACTTTAGATAAGAATAAAACGCGCTGGCATGGCTGACACGACAAATGGATATTCGGAAAATATTTTCAACGCATGCGTAAGTATGGTTCTTGAGAGGATAGCTAGAGCTTCGAAGTCTACGGCTGTTTGCACAGCTGCAAACAGCCTCCGTAACGAGTCCCACTCAGTTTACCGTGTCCTCTATGTATACTAGTACAAGGTGTGTTGGTGGGTTAA